CTTTTTTTCTTTTTAAAAACTTATTTATTTATTTATTTATTTATTTATTTATTTGTTTGTTTATTTAATATTTATTTACTTTGACAGAGGGAGACAGAGACAGAGCACAAGTGGGGAAGGGGTAGAGAGAGAGAGAGACACAGAATCCGAAGCAGGTTCCCGGCTCTGAGCTGTCAACACAGAGCCGGATGCGGGGCTTGAACCCATGGACTGTGAGATCATGACCCGAGTGGAAGTTGGTTGCTTAATCGACTGAGCCACTCAGACGCCCCACATAATGCCCTTTCTACCATATCTGGTTGATCAAAGTAGCCAGAGACTTGCCCGGGTTTCTAGGGGAAGGGAGATAAATTCTGTCTCTCGTTGGAAGAGGCGTAAAAAAAGTTGCCACAGTGTTTTGAAACCACCACACTTATGGAATTGACATTAGCTTCTCTAGATCTGCCTCGCACTCTGTGCTGACTAAATCTAGTCCTTCCTTCTCTACTCAAAACCCTTTTTTCAAATTTCAAGACTGCCTTCCGAAATACCTTGGATCTAGGACCCCATCCACGAAATGACCCTTTGGAGGCGAGACAAGAAAATAACTTTCATGTTTTAATTTTATTTATAAAATTTGAAATAAAGTGTTACTAACATTTCATATATAAATTGAGGCTGGTACCCATCTTCAGGTCAAGTTCCAGGTGGAAATACGTTGCCTGCTGTATTCAAGAAACTGCAAGAGAACATTGGATGTGCCCCAAAAGAATTGTCATCAACACCCTCAAGCATTTGTATTCCTTGTATAACAGAAATGTTTGAGTGCCGGGATGATCATATCTAGTTTCAAAAATTTGCCCATCCCCAAATGGTCAAGAAGCTCCAAAGGATTTGCAAACAATCTTTAGATTGCAAAACTAAACAAATAATCCAAGCAGAACAATGTACCAGAAAGCGAGGAAGGAGAATATTTCAAGACCCCTTCCTGGCGGCATCTGGACCACGTACCCCATGAAAACAGGGCGTGCATCTTGCATGTATTTGCAAACTAGCTCTGGGTATGATGCCTGACACAACCTAGACTCTTGATTGATAGTGGGCAGCTGAATCGCACTGACCCTGACTACACCAGCTCATTGGTTAATGTCGTTGAAGAGCAATTAACAATAAACCCTGTGCCTTCACCTTCAGCTCCCCAGCCCACAAATGTAGGCTATTTGCCTCCGGGCTGCCAGCTGCTTGCCTCAGTTTACCTGTCACTGCTCTGCCCACTCATGTGCCTTTGCGAGGTCTTCCTGGACTTGTTCTCATCTTCTCAAGTCCTTCACCCTCTAGGAGAGCAGCGTGTCATCTAGAGATTTCACCATGATCTTCCAGAGCATTTACACAAGGTAAAATAGTTCATACACACACACACACACACACACACACACACATATATTTATTTTTGAGAGAACACAAGTGGGGGAGGGGCAGACACAGGGGAACAGAGGATCCAAAGCGGGCTCTGAGCTGACAGGCTGAGAGCAACAAGCCCAGTCTGGGGCTCGAACTCAGGAACCACAAGATCATGACCTGAGCAGAAGTTGGATGCTGAACCGCCTAAGTAGCCCAGGTGAGCCATGAGGTAAAATAGTTTGGGTACTGATCCCATAGGCTGGGAAGGGGATAAAGTCCATTCTCTCTGGCTTCCAATAGCTCATTATCCTGCACAGCTATTAAGAAACACCTACAGAGTTTTTCCTCTCTCTGTCTGCCTCTGGACTCTTCCTGAGAGTGCCAGCCTGACTAAAAGTGGAAACATCTCTGGTAGCTTCCTGAGTCCGGGCAAATGTATCTAGGGATCTGAGTGGCTGAGGACTTGCTCTGCACTGTTTCCATTTTAGCATATGCGCTGCCGAAGGGAAGCAAGCACAGGGAACTTGCTTCTCTCGGGGGAGGGGCGGGGGCCTGGGCTATGCTGTAACTTACCTCTGCACGGTACCCTCTGGTGGGGACAGCATGCGCTGGGGAACGAGGAGGTACAACTTCTCAGCTACGCTGAGTTCATTGCCTTAGGCAGTACTTTAAATGGAAGTGTGCAAGTTTACCATACCTTTGTGAACTAGGAATGGTCAGACTTAATACTACACGTCAGAGAAATATTGAAAGAATAAATGCAAATCACGTACATAAAAGGGCCACAGGGTAGGTTCCAGGCAGGAAGATTATACTCTGAATTTAAAAAGGTAATTAACATTCGTTAGATACAACTGCATGTGCCAGAAAACCCAAGGGCTTTAAATAAAATGGGGGCTTATTTTTCTTTTACATTAGGGCAGTGAGGAAAAGAAAGTCTAGGGCTGGAATAGCTACTCCAAAGTCATAAAATTCAGACTTCTTTTGCCTGGCTTTTCCACCAACTTTAGTATGCTGCCTCACGGTCCAAGGTGGCCGTAGCAGCTCCACCATCATGTCTATATTCCTGTCAGCAGGAAGGAGGAAGGGAAAAGGAAGGAATCCTTTTCCTTTAAGAACACTTCCAGAAATTTGCATACAACACTTCCAATTGCATTCATTAGTCAAAGCTTAGTTACACGGTACACCTATCTGCAAGGGAGGCTGGAAAACACAAGTCTTTATTCTGGGCAGCCGTGTGCCCAGCCACGAATTTCAGTTTCTATTATTAAGAAAGATGTAGAGGGGGCACCTGGGTGACTCAGTCAGTTGAGCGTCTGACTCTTGATTTTGGCTCAGGTCATGAACCCAAGGTCGTGGAATGGAGTCCCGCGTCGGGCTCCACACTGAGTGTGGATCCTGCTTGAGATTCTCTCTCTCTTTTCTCTCTCTCTCTCTCTCTCTCTCTCTCTCCCCCTCTGCCCCCCTCCCCATCCCTACTTGTTCTTTCTCTCTCTCAAAAAAATAAAAGGGGGGGGAGCGCCTGGGTAGCCCCGTCTGTTAAGTGTCCGACTTCATGATCTCACAGTTCGTGGGTGGTATTTACTCTTCTTTGTGGGGGTCTGCGCTGACAGCTCAGAGCCTGGAGCATGCTTGAGACTCTGAGTCTCCTTCTCTCTCTGCCTTCCCCCACTCATGCTCTGTCTCTCTCTCTCAAAAATAAATAATAAAAACATTAAAAAAAAAAAAAAAGACGTGGAGACAGAATAAAGAGGGCAGCCACTAGTCCTATGTGCTGAGGTGGGATGGCAGAGTCCATTACCAGAAAGAAAATACTAGTAGCCTGTCAAGCATACAAAGTACTAACAAGTGTGAAAAATAATTCTTTCCTTATTTATTTTCCCCCTTGGATCATCTACTCAGCCTATATTGGGCTCACCTTAGGGAGGCAGTAGGAGGTGTATTAGTCAGGGTTCTCCAGAGAAACAGAAGCAAGGGAGGCCTTATAATGAAGAAATTTATTATGAGAAACTGACTCATGATAATGGAGGCTGAGAAGTTCCACAATCTGTTGTCTGTAAGTTGGAGACCCAGGGAAGTCAGTGGTTATAGTTCCAGCCCAAGTCTGAAGGCCAGAGAACCAGGAGAATCAATGGTGTATGTTCTGGTTCACATCTAAAGGTCTACAGCCAGAGGACTGATAGTAAGCTCCAGAATAAGTCCAGAGACCTGAGAACCAGGCTGATGGCATAAGTCCAGGCCAAAGGCAGAAGACCAGTGTCCCAGCTCATGCAATAGAGAGAGAGAGAATTCTCTGTTTATTCTCCATTTTGTTCCGTTCGGTCCCTGAACAGATTGGATGATGTCCACTCACATCGGAGAGGACAGCATGCTTTATTTGGTCTACTGACCCAAATGCCGATCACAGACACACCCAGAACTAATGTTTAATGAGGTATCGGCCCACCTCGTGGCCTGGTCGAGTTGATACATAAAATCGATCATCATGAGTCCACCCCTTGTCAACCTGCATCTCTTTCAACTGAACTTACCCCACAAATGAAAACAATAACAAGGTCATAGCTCCAAACATGATAGACCTATCAAGAGTACCACTGAAAATGCAGCAACCCCTTCCCCAGAAGAGCGATAAAGCCCTTGAGTGGTGTTTACTCTTCTTGATTTCCCATAACTTAAATACGATGATGTAAAATGAACAATCCTTAAATACTATGATATAAAGTCAATACATCTTATGTTACATAATTAGGGAATAAGAGAGGGAAAAACCCAAAGATATTTACTTAAAATGTATACATATACACCCACAAATATATTCATAACAAAATGAGGAGGAAATACTCTTGATAATTATAGTCTTAATTTCTGTAACTGATCACAGGGTTGTAGCTGGTATTTAATTACCTTCTTTCACCATCCATTCTGGATTCCCTTGCCTTCAGCAAGCACCTCAGCTGGTTGTATTTCTTTACCTGGGGCAGTGGTTCTTGAAGGGTCTGGACCATTAGTAGTCCTGCCTTATTTGGGTTGCTGTAGCTTTCCACTGACCTTAATCACAGGTCATGGTAATGCTAAGAGATGCCCTAAGGGATTTCCTGTTTTCCAGACACACTCAAGCTTACCTCCCCTGTGGAGTACAGTCCCATTTCCTCTCGGTAGTCAGGACCAATCACCCAGCCAGCACAGTAATGTCCTCCTTGCCTGTGGATTCAGAGGCATGAGAAGCCCACAGTGGGCAGGTGGCAGTCTCAACTTCCAGTTCAACGGGATCATCGCTGTGATTCCTAGTGGGAACCTTTCTCCTTCTGGAACTGAGACCTGTAGGCCAGCAGAGCATATTGTCATGGGAACAGGAAGCAAAATGTTTGCTGGTGGGTCACTAGGGATAATAATAGGGACTGGTGCCACTCCCATCCTACCTCTTGCTTCCCGGGCCTTTGAATTCTGGCTACGGGAGAAACAGTGCTGTATGTTGGACGCTAATCCAGAGCATATACAGCTTTCTGGAGAACCTTGCCCCAGCCTTGCAAGGTGTTGCCACCTAACTGGTGCTTTAAATCTTCAAAGGCCCATTCCATCTTTCTATCAAGTCAGGTGCTTCAGGATGGTGGGGGATCTGATAAGATCAGTGAATTCTTTGAGCATGGGCATATTGCTACACTTCTTTTGCCATGGGGTGAGTTTCTTGGTCAGAAGCAATGCTATATGGAATACTATGATAGTAGATAAGGCATTCTACAAGTCTGTGGATGGTGGTTTTGGCAAAAGGATTTCATTGAAGGAAGACAAATCCATATCCAGAGTGAGTGTCTATTCCAGTAAGAACCCTGCCCCTTCCATGATGGAAGTGGTCCAGTGTAATCAACCATTCCCTGGGAATGGTGCCCTATCAGAGATTCAGTTTTGGTCTCTGCTTCTGGAATATTGGACACTCAGTGGTGGCGGTAGCCAGGCTTGCCTTGGTGAGTTCAAGTCCATGTTGCTGAACCCATGCATAACCTTCCTCCTCCGCCCCAGCCACTTTGTTCATGAGCCCATTGGAGGGAACAGAGATGGCTGTTCCATTGGGAACAGAGAT